TCTTTAGCTAGTTCCCCACCTTAACCCATCCTCTTTCAAACCACATGCGCTCTTGTTTTTAATTGTCTTATATACAGATATGTGCAAAAACGTTGGAGAGAAAGAGGAACGACATAGTTTTCAGTCACCAAGACGAAGAACTGCGATTTTTCCGGAAAATTTACCGGAAGGATTCAACAAAGGAGAAAACTCAGCTTGTCCTAGAAAAATCGCCTAACATTGGTACATTTTCGTCCCTTAGACTTTCTCTCTCTAAAAAGTTATTTCCCCTTTCTTAAAAAAAAAAAACAAATCCGAAAAGAAAAGAAAAAAGATGAAAGGAAAGGAAACAAAACCTTAAGAGAGTCTAAGAAGATCGATTTTATTTTTGAGGCAAGCTAGAGTTTGATTTTATGGAGTTTTGGAGATTATTTTTCTAATTCCCGGAAAGAATCTAAGTCTGGGGGAATAGCTGTTCACAACAAAGGAGGAAAGATTGTGCAACAACATTGGACCAGAAGAAGTGACTGAAAATTGCGGTCATCAACAGGTACTCATCTCTCTTGCGGTTTTGTATAATATCTTGCATTCTCCAGATTCATCAGGTAACCCAAAACACTTTAACTCCACCACTTACACAACCCTTTAATACCAAACGCTGTCTACCCTAGATAATGTCTTTGATGAGAACTCACTTTTGCACTTAATGAATGTAGAGAGCTAGTTGACTGGAATCAAGATTTAGATTGTTTAAGTTTTGCATGATGGAAAAAAGTGGACTAGTATCTTTTGTGTCTTGGTGAGAATTTTCTGGACAAAGTTGTGGATTGATGCACGATCTACGGTCCTAGTTTAAGAGTTCATGTCTCTGAGATTTGTGCATTTACTATTTTTGTTTTCACTTAACCAGTTTAGACTTTTGCTTTGTTTGTCCCCAAACAAAGGTTTAAGTCTTGGTGACTGAGAACTATCAGCTTTCAGCACACTTTACAGCTTGGCAATGTAACGGTTCAATCAAAAGTTACGCGAAGAGCAAGATGTCCCATAAACTAACCGTCAAGCATTTCCACCCGCGGCCAACAGCCATTTCACCACGGTCAGAGGCTACCCGACCGCGGCCAAGCATCCATTCACCGCAGCCACGTCCTTTCCGACCGCAGCCAGCCATCTCCGAGTTAGAAAGCCCATTCTGAAGCCCAAAATGATTTCCTCATTTGGAGAAACCCTAAGTGACGCCCAACATGTCTTGAGCACTATAAATACATGTTTTAGGAACCCTAATTCATATGCCCTCTTATGTTCTTATTGTTTTAGAATACATTTTAGGTTTTTCAATACTTTAGATTTTAGGGAGATAGAGATCTATCTCTTGAACCATTTTTCTTTTTTCTTCAATTTTGATTATTGCTCAGCTTTTTAATACTATGTTTTTTTTTCGTTCATCATGTCTGAGTAGTATTATTGTTGGGTTAAAGGGATATTCGATGGGGATACATGTGTTCGATGAGGATTCCATGAGCTATTGAAACGGAATCCTAGAACGTTTTCTTTTGAATTTACTTTTAATGTATGGGAGTAGCGTCATGAACTACAATCTGATTTAGATCCTTGGTGATACGAAAGTATTCCTCCGGTGTCAGATCTAGTTTGGGAGAGCAAAACAACATAGGAGTGGAAACCTACCTATGGGCGATTTGTGAATGCTGACAAGTCTTAAACATATTGCATCTTTTCTCTTCTAGGGCCAGAGTGGAAACCTACTGGTCAAGGTTGAGAGAGATAGTTGTCTATGATCACGACAATGGCGTATTCATACGTTCGTGACTTTAGTTCGAAAAGTTTTAGATAGGATCTTATTAAATTTACTCTTTAGCAATGTTTTGAATCGTTCATACCCCGGAGAGAACTTCCTTGAAACCCAACGTCTCTTTTCTATTGATTTTCATAGATTTTATTTCAAGCTTGAGCTCATCATTTTTATTCTCTTAATCAATTTTTATTTAAGCAATTAGGTTTAGCCGTTTTTCTCGTTTTAGTCGATTTCATTAAGTTTAGTTATTAAGTCATTTTTATTCTCGTATTTTCTCGTTAAGATTGGTTTTTACGTTTTAAATACACCACCAAAACCCTTACAAAACTCATCTGGTTTTAAACCTCCTTACTTTATATTTTTTCGAAGGCTTTTGCAGGAAAGATCCTCCTTCCCTGTGGATTCGATCCCTAAGTACTACAATCAATCAGTTGTACACTTGCGGCTATTGATTTCATTTAGGGTAAAATTTGACACCCTCACGCAGCAGACACATCAAAGGCATTCTGCACATGCTTAGCCAAATCTTTATAGTTCTCCCTTTTTAATTGTACCACCGTGACAAAATTTCAGGTCCATCAGAAGGATGGAGATAAAACAACAACAAGACAGCCTTGTCTGTGGTCGTCTTTATAGATTCCTTATATGTCGCTGTTGCACCCTAATCTCCCTTTATCTCCTGCCATTTCTACCGCTCTTGAATTCATCTTTGTATCGTCAAAGATCTCTCCTATTTTTTTTCTTCTTCTTCCTGTTAAAATATCACTGTTTCTAGAATATTGACTCTGATACCATAACAAAAAGAATGGAGATGTTGTATCTTCTTATTCCATTAACCAACGTTTATATACATACACGACATTAGAATATTCTAAATACGACTCTATCACAGAGGAATATTAACATAACCGAAGATATGAAAAATATATTATACGATATTTACATAAGATTCTCTAATATTTTTAGGGAGAGTTTCAGATTTGACCTTAAAATTAAAGTCAAACACCAAAATAACCTCTTTTTTTCTCTCTCCAACTTTTGCCATTTTGTCACAATTTTATCCTTCTTACTTAAAATATTAACCAAAATGCCATTATAAACCCATTATTTCGATTGAGGTCAAAAAAAAAAAAAAACCCATTATTTCGATTTTTTTAAATATTGGCTAAAGTCTCATTGGACCTCCTAAAACCTTTTTTATTACAATAATGCCATCTTCTTCAATACCTTCAACCACCATGAACAACCTCAAAAACAGAATAAATGCTTCTCAACCAATTTTAAAGCTGTAATAGGTTAATATGAAAGCTCATACACTCATAACTTTCCATATTCTTTCCTAATTTCTTCTCTAAAACTTCTGGGCTGAGTTACAATGTCAAAGGTTATGCATTTTTGGTGATTTCAGCTTAATCAAGACCTGGGTTGTTTTTTTTTGGTCAAATTTAGAGTTTTGGGTGCATGAGAGACCTAAAAACAAACTCAAAACTGATATAGGTAATGATACACTTCAATTTTGGTAATATCTATATCTGTATCGCGAAAGTAGACTTTATTTTGAAGTCTACTAGTCAACATAAGGTTATTTTTGCAATTGACTTTCTAAAAGTAGACTTCATTAAACTTCACGAGAAGTCTACTCAATATCCCTTGAAAACAAAAAAAAAAGTTTAGTAGACTTCGTTTGAAGACTTAAGAAGTCTACGAAAGAAAATAGGTTATTTTTGTAGTTGACCGTATTTTGACTTTTTAATATAGACTTCCGTATGAAGTCTACTGTTTACGTCTACATAAAAAGTCTACGTTAAAGTTATTTTTGTAGTTTGACCAAAAACGTATAGGTCATTTTAGTGTTTGACTATAGTTTTAAAAAAAATAAAAAAATTCAAAAAATTCTGAAAAACTTTAGTAGACTTCCCAAAGAAGTCTAAAACCTGTAGACTTCTTTGGGAAGTCTGCTTATATTTTTCGGTCAAACTTAGAAGGAAACTTTTTTTGAGTAGACTTCACAGTGAAGTCTACTCTAAAAATTCAATTGCAAAAATAACCTATTTTTTTCGTAGACTTCTATTAAAAAAGTAGACTTCAAAAGTAGACTGTCAGAGAAGTCTACTCTTGCATGAAGTCTACAATAGAAGTCTACTTTGTTAGTCAATGGCTCGGTCAAATGCTAAAATAACTTTTTTGGCCGGAAGTCTACTTTTGAAGTCTACTGAAGAAAAAGTCAACGAATTGGTCAATTGCAAAAATAACTTGTTTTTAAGTAGACTTTTTTAGTAGACTTCACTATGAAAAAGTAGACTTCTCAAAGAAGTCTACGTTTGAAGTCTGTTGTAGAAGTCTACGTATTGCAGTTTTTTTAAAAACGCATTTTAGACAAATTTGTAAAGTATTTTTTTATTTTTTTGGATTAGAAATGTTTTTTATTAAGTGATTGAACTACCCAGTGAATTTCATTTCATTTCATTCGATATTTATTGTTGAATCAGAAGTTTTGATTTTTAAGCTACTTAGCTTATCAAAGTAGACTTCAGTAGACTTCTCCAAGGAAGTCTAATTAGGAAGTCTACTTTTTGTATTTATTTTAAAAACGCATATCTTAAATATTTATAACGTTTTTTTATAATTTTTAGGATTTGACATGCGTGTTAGCAATTGATTGAATTACTCAATGGCTTTCATTTGATTTAAATCGATATTTATTGTGGAATCAAATTTTTTGATTTATGAGCTAATTAGCTTGTAAAAGTAGACTTCTCCAGCAGTATACGGATGAAGTCTGCACGAGAAGTCTTCGCATTTGTTACTTATGTGGTTGTCATAATATGGATTGTAATTACATTTGCTAATATGATTTTTTTTTGTGTTTTCTAATAGAGAATATTTCAATTGAGAATAGGATGGAAGAAAACTTGTATTTTGTGCAGTGTTTTTATATTCTTCTTCAGTCTTGTTTTAGTCTTGTTTTTATCTTATTCTCAAGCTCACTCTTGTGTTTATCTTTCTGTCTCTGACCTGAGTTATGTTTGAATTGTGTCTGACCTTTTCACTTGTGTTTGAATTGTTATTAATTGTTTTGTCTCAGTTTGAATTGTGACTGATAATAATTTTGTTTTGATTCAAAGATTCTGCTTAATGACTATAACAAGAAAAATAAAACATTATGTATAAAATAGTATCACCATTACATTTAAACTATATACAAATCAAGTTCAAGACCATTACAATTGATGACCACAAAACTAGGATGACCATTACACTTTTGACCATTACAATGATTCAAAACTATATTTTCTTCATACATTGGTCATGAAGAAAAGGTATCATGCAAAAGCAACAAGGCCAAGAACCACCAGTGAGTGTCTTTATGTGAATGTAGTTTCCGCAACAAAATGCAAGAAACATAGTTTATGTGATTTCTCTCTAAATTAAGTTTCATGTTAACAAGAGTTAAGAGATCTCCGTCTGTTAGTATCACCTGAACGAGAAGAAAATGCTTTGTAATTATTATGAGAACTTTGATAAGAACTAATAAGCAATTAGGGATACCTTTTTAGCCTTTACATGTGCAAGGAAAATTCCGACCATACCAACTCCAGAACCAACCTAAACATTATATAATAGATCAGAACGTAAACATCATCCGTGAATAAGCTTCATGATGTTGAACTCACCTCAAAATAGGTTTTATTGGCGAATAAGTCTGGAAAAGTTAGAACAAACTCTGACAGAAACAGACTTGATGGCCAGATGGAAAACCTGCTCATAACCCACGATCCAAGGTCAGCAATGTAGAAGGAGACTCATGCATCTAAATGAATCTGTGGCAATCAAATAATCATACACTAAGAAGATTCTTACCCGGTATCTCCTTCAAGCATGTTCAACCATTAGCAGCCTGCACCGATGCAAGAGTTTATCATACAGTAACTTGCCCATTACTACTACTCAAGATTCATATTTTTTCAGAGAGAACTGATAGTGAAATCGTACTTATTAATTCGGCAAACAACTACCAAAATCTTAACAGAATTACTTCACAGAAAGCTTCCAAATTTCTGAATGTCTAGTACTTTTCCGAGCAGATCAGAGCAGTAGAATTTACTTACAGCTTTTACGCAAATTTCCCAGAAAAATCTCTAGACGCTTTCAGTAATTAATCCTCCTGTAAAAACCTCACAAACAAAACGACATAGAGAATCAAATATCAAATAGACAAAGCAGCTCACATAATCACAGATCAAACCAACGTTTCCTTAAAACTAAAAGCAGAGTAAAATCTTAAGAGCAGAGGAGAAGACCTCGCGTGGAGTTCGTTCACAAGCAGATCTAGAAAAACCGGTGTTCTCGTTGAATCTCTCGTTGAATCTAAAATAGCAGAGGAGAAGCACCGTTGTTCTAGAGAGAGATTTGAGTTTTTTTTTTTTACAAAATTAGGGTTACAAATCGTAGATTTTCTTTATATAGGGAGGTACAATCTTGGTTAAATTAATAATTTTTGGTTCAAAATTGTTGGTTCAAAAATGAAGTCTACTTCTTTTAAACCTAAATAATAGATTTTTTTCTTCTTAATTTAAAAACATAAATTTCTATTTATCAATATGAAAAAATAATTTATGTACATTTGGGTTATAATTACGAAATTTATGAATGTAATTTTGATACCAAATTAATTTTTTCTAAATTTTAAAATTATTTTTTTTTATTTAATTACTTAGTAGACTTCATTTCGATAAAAGAAGTCTACTATTAGACTTCTTTCTCTCTTTAGTAGACTTCGTGAGGGTGTAAACGGTAATTAGGATATCCGTTTTTTTTTTGTCATACAGGATTAAATGGTCTTTTCACTACCCTTTTAGGTTATTTCTACCAAATATTTTTTCAGGAGTCTACTTTGTATTCAAAATCAAGTTTTAGGTTATTTTTAGCAAAAACTCCATATTTTTATCTCGTACAATTTCGGGTTCAAGAGCTAGTCCTAACAATAATAATAAGGAGAATTCTGTTTTTTTTTCATTGAAAGACTCGGATAAAATCAATAGAATATATGTAATAACCTAGAGATTTTACATGTTACGGGTCTCATTGACCTAAACATACCAAATAGAGAACCATAAATCACAAGATTATACACACACACAACAATAGAAAGATTCTGGTCATAATATACATACATATACGATGCTATTTTGGTGATCTGAACCAACACATTAAATATATATACTTTTAATTAATCACAAGTACATACAAAAAATAATTATATATATATGTAATATATCCATGAAAGATGCAAACTATTGCAGCTTCTTTTTGTTTCCCAAGGTTTTCATTTTCAAGTTAAAACCGGCTAGTTAAACCGTCGCCAAAACCAATGTTTCTCCCAAACTTGGTACATAAAATCCACATGAATCCCTTTGGTCTCCGGTAAAAACATCACAACGAACAGCGTCATTAACAAAATCCAACCGCCGTAAAACAAGAATGCACCATACTTGAAACCGCAGAGAGTTGCAAGAAACGTCTGCGAAAGAACGAACGTTACAGCAAAGTTCACGGCAATGCTTAAGCTCTGACCAGTTGGTCGCAACTTGAGCGGAAATATCTCACTCGGAACCAGCCAGTTCAGAGGACCCCATGACCAACCAAATCCAGCTGCGTATATGCACAGCAACAGCACCACCGTCACGGCGTAGCCTTTCGTCATCTCTCCGTCTCCAGAGGCTCCCACTGTCACCGCTAGCAACACAGCCACTGCGACCTATACATTATACGAGTTTATCCATGGTAGTTACTGATGATGAAGCTAAAATTTAAAACACGAATTTTAAAATTGAACTATAAATCTTTAAAAGTAAAAAATAAAAATTGAACTTTAACTCCAAGGAAAAAGAAAAAAAGAAATCATCAAAACTAAATCTCAAACCCGAAAATAACAAATAGTAAATTGTTGAAAGAATTAAATTATGTTTTAACTTAGACTTTTTAAGATTTTTTTCTTATTTAACTCTAGCTCTGACCAAAAAAACTATATGTGGCCATGTTTTAAGAGACTACAATTAAAAGATATAAAAAAAAAAGACTACAATTAAAGCAAAACATTTGTTTGTTCTATAAATCTGCTATAAACAGGTCATGATGTCATGTGCAAAGACTCAAAGTATTGTTGGTCAACACCAACCCAAACTAAATTTGGTGTGCTGAAAAAATTCGAACTAAAATACGGTGCCAATAACTATTTTAATTTCATAAAATTTCAAATTTCCTACCTGAACTCTAATGTCTATGTCAAAATCTACCTTGACTAACTTTTATGTTAGTCAATTGTTAAAAAATGTTGACGAGGCATGATGAACGACGTCGTTTTTGTAAAAAAAAATTCTAAATTTTTCCTCTTTCTGGACTCGAACCTAAACATGCAAACCAGTTGAACCGTGATACATATTCATTTTTCTTACAAATTTATTTATTTATTATTGGTATGTCTGTCTAAATTCAAAAAAAAAAACAAAACAATGGCATATTCAATTAGGGGTAAATTAAACTACCAAAATAGAATTAGGGTTAGAAAATTATTCTTCTTCATGGAGTTCCATTGTCGGAGCATTCAGAGGCTGCAATTAAGAGGGAACTAAGCTCAATTTTATGTTTGGAGAATTGCGGCAGCAAGGAGACTTTGTTTCCGATGGCGTGATCGTGTTTTTGTGGTAAGGTAAAATGAGTTTCCTGATGATTGATTCGGCTTCGGAGTCATTGGAGGCTAGAGTCGGAATCTTGTCGTTGGGGATACAGAGGGACAGAGAGATTCTGGTGCTGGCGAAGGATTTGGTGACTCTTAGATCCATGTCGAAGTTTTTGACATGTTTGATGGAGAGAAAATTGAGCTTCCTAATAATGATCTTGATAGTATGAAAGGGCATATCAGTAATATATAAATATGTTTGTTAGAAATACCAATGATGACTCACGGTTCAATCGGTCGATACGTTTGACTATAGTTTAAAATGTTTCAAGTTCGATTATAGGAAAGAGGAAAATTTTTAGATTTTTTTACAAAAATAACGCGTCATGTCATGTTTCAAGTTAGATTTGTTTCAAGTTCACACAGTATCGTTTTAGTAAAATGATAACATGTCGACATGTGAAGTCATATTTCATCATGCTTTGTTAGCATTTTTTATACTAACATCAAAGTTAATCAAAGTAGATTTTGACAGATATATTAGAGTTCAGATAAGAAATTTGAATTATTTTAGAATTCGGATAGTTATTAACATCGTAATTTAATTCAGATTTTTTTCGGTATATCAAATTCAGTGTAGGTTGGTTTTGACCATTTTTCCCTCTAAAACGATACTGTGTTTATGTAAGAGCTACGAATAATAATTTACATTAAAACTGTTTTTAATAAATAATTCGTTTAAATTGTATTCATATATTTAATTTATAGAAATAAATTGTATTCATACGCATTAATCGTATAATTAGAACGCACCTGGCAGACAAACATCTGAATACCACCAGCAATGAACAAGAACCGTCTACCAAACCGGTCAATAACCATGGTTGAAACAAGAATCGAACCGAGATTAACCAACCCAAGTATTAACGTCGCAATAAGAGCAGGACCAGAACCAAACCCAACCGATTGAAAGAGAACCGGAGCGTAGAACGCATTAACCGTAATCCCGGTTAACTGTTGAAAAAAAGGTATCGCCACAGCAACCACAAGCTGAGGCCTGTACCGTCTTTCCAATATCGTCCTAAACGGCTCAGCTCTAGCTTCTAAAGCTAACTGGCTCGACTTCACCAGCTCTGCTAGCTCGGCTTCCACGTCAGCTCTGTTCTCGGTGCCACGTAGATTAAACAGGGATGCACGAGCTTGATCGTGTTTCCCACGCGCCAAGAGACTAGACGGTGTGTCGGAGATGAGGAGACATCCGACGGTCATGATCGCCGCTGGTACAGCTGCAAGGCCTAGTGAGATACGCCAGCCGTTGCGGTGGTTGGCCGTGGCGTAGTTGATTAGATTGGCTGCTACAACTCCGAATCCGATGAAGAAATTAAAACCGGAGTTGAAAGCTCCACGCCATTGCGGTGGTGCTACCTCCGATAGATACACCGGAGCCGCCTAGCGTGTTTACGTTATAAAAAGATTAGTAATTTTTTTATTAAACCGTATTCGTAAAACTCAAGGCATCTCAAACTAAAATGCATAAACCGGTCCAAACCAAACCAAAATTTGTTTATATGCTTTGATTTATTGTATAACCCATGAAATTGAAACCAGTGTAACCGAATTCAATCGAATCGAATGTACCGAAATTTAATAAAAGCATATATAAATATATTACTTAGTTGTAAAATGATTTAAATCATTTTTTATTTATGGTTAATTTACGTTATTTCAAAATCCAAACTGAAAACCAAAAACAAATGTGATCAATCCCAACCAAAACCAAACCGAAATACATGGTTTTGTATGATTTTAGTTTTTGTAAAGTCCAAAAAAAAAACTTAACAGAAAAAAACAATATTTATATACATACTATAAATATAGTAATGTAGTATGGAATGTAGTGATATTGAAGGTTATATAGCTACTTGGTTAGTGAAGCCAACACCAAATCCGAGCAATATCCGACCGGAGATGAGCATGGCGATATTGGCAGCAAAGCCATTGATGACGGCACCAAAGAAAAAAGTGAAACCGCCAAGAATTATGGTGGTGCGGCGACCGTAAGCCGCCGTGAGACGGCTAGCCACTAAGGAAGCGACTAAGCCAGCAACATAAAGACTTGATGTGAAAGCCGTTAGAAGTTGGCTATCATAGACGCAGTACACATTTGTCTTAGCTTCTGAAGCTTTTGCAAGAACCGATGGAAAAAATTTCTCAAGAAACGGCTCCATCGTCGTCACACCCCCTTTGTTAAAAAAGAAATTAAATTAAAATGTTATGATTTTATGTCTTCTTTCGAAACTTAATCTCTCTCTCTTTATAAATTGTAACCTGAGATTCCAATGTCGTAGCCAAAGATGAGACCGCTTGAGGCAGCCACAACGCATGTTATGACAACTGCTGTTGTGATCTTGGCGTTTATATTGCCGCCGGAGCCGGGAACGTCAAGAGCTAATCCTCCGATTGGCATTTTCCGTTTGCCTTACGCATGCATTTCTACTTTTTTTTTGTTGTAAAACAAATGGACAAACATAAGTGCATTAAAGATAGCTTTTAGGTGAGTGTCTTTGGTTAGTTGGTGTTGTGACTTGATGGTGCAAAGTGTGCTACCACTTATCTCCTAGTTTTAATGGCGTAACCGATAAATGTAGTATAACAAATTTACTAGTTTCTTTATTGAAAAATAAAATAAAACATTATATCTGTTTATATGGAAGATAATGGAGTTGGGTATAACCACCGTTCTATAAATCGGCCACTTAGACGCTCCTATGCCGCTTACACGGCCAAAAGCATCTAGACGTCTTGATTTTGGTTAAATCGGATAAAATTCCGTTAACGGGTGGGTAAATCAACAATGTAGTTAAGACGTTTAATTAATCGGTTTAGACGACTGATTGATCTGTATTTTATTATTATCTTAATTTTGTTTAGTATCCGAAATGTAAAAATAATTAATTCCCTGATTAGCATGTACAGAATTCTTTGACATTGGATATAACATATTAAAGCTTCTTTTGATAAGGACGTTATGGGACAGAAACGGATCCAGAAAAAAAAAAAAAAAAAAAAAAAAAAAGAGAAGATAAGAATATGAAAATTAATTCCAACACAAGACAAAGTATACATAATGGTTGTTTGTCACGAGTTGTCCATTGTGGTAGGAAGAACCAAAGACGTAGGCAGCACGTATCAATGTTTTTAATTCTAGAATTTATTTATATAGCTTAATAATTAACCGTTACGATCATTTAGCACATCAAGAAACCACCATTTAGCTGGCCTTTCCTCATAAAGAAGTTTTCTAAATGTGTAACATCTGCTTTTGCGTCATTTGTCGCATGTACTGAATACTTGGCCTCCATTAAAGCAAATTCAAACTATAAACATATTGATGAAAATGAAGCCCATCAAATTGATTAGTAGGTACCTAATCCTATAAAGCATTAATTAATTACTCATAATCTATTTATCTCTAGAAAGTGTCTTTGAGTTTCTTAGACCATCTCTATCAATGAATCCCTTTTTGGGTTTGTAAGAATTTTTTATTAATTTGTTTTGATTAAAACACTAATAAAAAAAAACTTATTTTCCTCCGTCCAATTAAAAGAGGATATGTGGCAGTGAACCCCAACCTTTAGGTTCGTCGCTAAGAGGTGGTCTCACAATATTTTGGTCCAATTTCCATTTTTTAATATATCTTGCATACATTTTTGTGTCCTAAAACCTTTTAACATACCTCAATGGAGATGCTCTTATGTCGTGGATGATACTGCCTACGTACTGCCATCTTTGAGAATTTTGCTTCATTATGTGCATGAATTTTTCATTTGTATTACGGATAAAATCACAATTTAAGAATACTAAATCGGATAGATTGCACACACACAAAAAGATCTGTGAAATTCAATGTAAGAAAATAAATTGCGCCCAAAGATTCGCCCCCTAGATACAAATTTGTAGCAGAGGCCACAACTACGATGGTAGTCTTACTTATCCACAATTACGATCTCGATCCCCAACTGATATTGATGTGTGCTGTCGTGTGTTGAGAGGGTGTGTCAAGTTTTACCCTAATTGAAATCAATAGCCGCAAGTGCACAGCTGATCGATTGTAGTACTTAGGGATCAAATCCACAGGGAAGGAGGATCTTTTCCTGCAAAAAGCCTTTGAAATAAGTTAAAGTAAGGAAGTCTAGAACAAAAACGGTTTTGTGGGGGTTTGGTAGTGCGTTTAAAATCTAAAAACGAAATATTAAAAGAGAATACGGAAATTAAATGATGTAATAACTAAACTTAATGAAAATGACTAAAAATGATAAAAACAGATATTATAATGCTTAAATGAAAATGAACTAAAAAGGAAAGAAAATATTGAACTAAAGCTTAAAGAAAATCGGTGTAAATCAATGGAGAAAAAAAGCGTTGGGGTTCAGGGAAGTTTTCTCAGGGGTACGAACGATTCCAAACATTGCTAGAGAGGAAATTTTGTAAGATCTTAGCTTAAACTTTTCGAACTGGAGTCACGGACGTATGAATACGCCACTGTCGTGATCATAGACAACTATCTCTCTCAACCCTGACCAGTAGGTTTCCACTCTGGCCCTGGAAGAGAAGAGATGCATTATGTTTAAGACTCGTCCTAATTCACAAATCGCCCATAGGTAGGTTTCCACTCCTATGTTTGTTTTGCTCTCCCAAACTAGATCTGATACCTGATGAACACTTTCGTGTCACCAAGCATCTGGATCAGATAGTAGTTCATGAAGCTACTCTCATGCAGTAAAAACGAATTCAGAAGAAAAAGTTCTAAGATTCAGCTCAATAGCCAATGGAATCCTCATCGAACATATAAATCCCCATCGAAAATCCCTTAATCCCAACAATAAAACTACTCAGACATAATAAACGAAATCAAAGACATAGTATTAAGAAGTAGAATAGAAACCGAAATTGAAAAAGAAAGAACAAGGGTTCAAGAGAACAAATCTCTCTCTCCCTAAAAGCTAAAGCAAAAACAATAAAAATATGAAGTAATGATATATGGTATTCGGTTCCCCCGATTTAGGGTTCCTAAGACATGTATTTATAGTGTTCAAAACCTCTCTGGACGTCACTTAGGGTTTCTCCAAATGTGGGCTTCAGAAATGGGCTTTTTGGGCTCGGAGATTGAAGGCCGCGGTCGGGAGTGCTCTGACCGCGGGGAATGGGTGGTTTGCCGCGGTCGGGATGCTCCTGACCGCGGGAAAATGCTTGTTGGCCGCGGGTGGAAGTGCTCGCCGGCTGGTTTACGCGACATCTTGCTCTTCGCGTATCTTTTGATTGAACCGTTGGATTGTCAAGCTGTAAAGTGCACTGGAAAGATGATACTTCCATCTTTAAGGTCTCCAAATTTGAGTTGGATCAGACGGTGAGAAGGCTTTCAATTAGGGGTGAACTTCTGACGGTTTGACTCTGAGCTGAAATCTGGTTTTCTATCCATTTTGTTAAGCTTTTCCCTTATTTACCTGAAAAGAGTCTTGGAACTACAAATACTAGAAAAACATAATAAAATTACTTAAAAGCAATTAAAAACATAGAAAAATTATTTCAAAACGATCCATAAAAGTAGTCAAAATACGGTGTTATCAGATATCAATCAAAAAAATCTCCATTTCAAAAGATTTCAATATCTTTAAAAGACTCATGAATTGTCTTAAGATACTTTGGTTCTAGGTTCAAATCGGATATTACTCGATAGTTGTATAAGTATTCAAAATAATCTGAGATTCGCGAAATCCGAATGATTAACCGAATATACCCAAGATCTGAATATTTTACTCTGGCTTTATGTACTGCATATGAATGAAATTTGATTCAATTGAATGATATGTTTTGTTTTTTTAATAGATTTTTGGATAATTTGAATATGTGTATATGTTTTCGGGTATTTCAGATATTAAATAATCAAGCTAAATCATATACATGGAACCTGGATAATATCAAACAGAATATGAACCAAATTTCAAAAATACTCGAAACACCCGAGATCCGTATCCGATCCAAATTTTTGAACATTAATTATCACTCACTGGACCTATAATAGGTCCAACCAATTACTAGCTACCGTCGACTTCACTTATTCTTCTCCCATGTTCAAAAAATCGGTCGTTTAGCTGCCTAGGCAGCTGTCTAGGTGCTAGGCAGCAGGAAGCTGTTGCGATTAAACCTGAATTGGAAGTGTTAGGCGTTTTCTGATTTAATTCCGCCTAGCTCCAATTTATAAAGAAATTGACAATTTATTGCCTAAAAATTGGTCCAAATTCTGTAATTTTTTTTGCATAATTTGAATGAAATTTTGGCCCAATATTAAAAGGCCCAATTTATTAATTTTCCCAATTCTGAGCCAGAGATTCGTTGTAAAAAAACAACTATAACAGTAGAACTTTTCAACCTAATCTCGATTATTCCCAAAACTAAGCATATCAAGATGAAATCGAGACCAAATCAAGCATAATTCACATCAAATCAAGCAAAATCAAGCTCCTACATCATCTACAAACTCTGAATTTTTGTTATACTTGTGTTTATATTCAAAATTCATCTTATCATTTTAGATATATTTATTGTTTTTATATGTGAGACTTTTGAAATTTTTTTATTTTATCGTAACAATGAGATTTTGAAGACCTTTTTAAATTTAAATTATTTAAAGTTATAATTTATTCAATCATTGTTTTAACAATCAATGTTTTAACTATAGTTTCACATAGTCTATTTTGCATTGTTTTTTATTGGTTAATGTTTAAAAACCGACAAAATAAGTCATTAGAGCATCTCCAATGGTTTTCCTCATTTTTTCCCTCAAAATAAAGTAAACTCAAAATAAGGTAGAATTTTACTCCAATAGTCTCTCTCATTTGTTCCCTCAAAAAAAATATTCTAAGTATATTCTTTTCTTATTTTATTATTAATTACAAACAACAACTATTATTTCTAAATTTACAAATTATACCCAATTATTTTAATAAATTATAAAAGATATGTTAATTTTTTTTTGTTATCTTTTATCTTTATTTATGATATTTATTATGTATTTTGAATTATTTTGTTTGTTTAGTTATTTTATGTTTGTTTTATATATTAAAATTACATTTTCACATTTTTATTTATGAAGTTAATTAATATTTATTAATAATTGTGTTTTAAAAACCATAATGTTTTATTTGAATAGTCAATAAAAAATTTAAAAATTTGTTTAGATATAAATCAGATATACGTAAAACTATAAGGATTATTTTGCAAATAAACAAAGCTAAAAGTAAAATGAGGGGATGAATAATGTTTCTTCAAATTTGATGTAATACTGTTCATAAACTCATTTTTATCCTCAAAATAAAGTACCATCGGAAAAGTGTTTCCCTTAATTTTTGATGTTTTCCCTCAAAATAAAGGACCATTGGAGATGGTCTTAATAGAAAACAAAAACAAAATCAAACAAACCACCAACTATAAAAATTATCAATGTTTGAATACCACTTTTACCACATTATTTCAAAATAGTTAAAAAATTGGAAATTACTATGTGTTTTGAAATACTTTTTTTGTAAACCAAATTCATGGTTTTCTTTTTTGGGTTTCCATCTTTGTTAGTGATAAAAAAAAATTTAATCTAGATCATGCCAAAATCCCTTTTTTGGTTTAGTTTTCAATTTTCTAAAGTTTAATTTCTTTACATTTGTTGGAAATTGATGTTCAACTTAAACAGGTAATAATCCACGATAAAAAAAATAATGAAAATATATATTGAACCAAATGAAAAAAAATTTGAAGGGTTTTATAGTCAATCTCCAAACAATTTCATTATATCAATTCAAATTGATCCAAAATGAAGTTTAACCAAAAAAAAGTAAAAAACCGACATTTCACCACTAAAAATATTTAAAAAGAAAGAGAAAATCATTTCTTTTTATAATAAAAGAGAAATAATATCTCTTAAATTAAAAACAAAATAGAAAAATTTTTAGTTCGATCAATTCCACTACATGATTCTCTTTCCTGCAGATAAAAGTCTAAGAAATTTTTTTCTATTGCCGAGTTTAGCTCCAATTCTGGCTCTTCACTTTTTTTCCTCCAACTCTCTTGAATTTCTTTTTAATTAGAAGTTGTTCTCTTGTACTTCGTCACAATTAAAAGACAGAATTATCTATTATCATACTTTCCTCTCCCTGCCATAACAAATATTAAAAAAGTAAAGAGAACAAATTATACAGTAAATAATAAAAATTGTCAAATAATAAAGATCATGTTTAGTATTAATTGAAGGTATAGCAATTTGGTATCCATGGTTGTCCATATTTGTTTTCTATTGAGTTTGCTGAAAATGAATTATACAAATAAAAATGAATTTTGATTATAAATCATGCATTCAAGAAAGATTGATGAGAAGTCCACATATTTCCCCCACTAAACTTTGATATCAGCGCAGATCCACCTCAAGTTTAAAAGTCAACATATATCCCCCTAATTAGAAAGTTCTCAACATAATTCTCCCCAGATTAAAATTTCGCATCATATTTCACCATACAAAAGAAGTTGTAAACTTTTTTTCTCCTGATCGCTAATTTAATGCGGTTTACTGTTTACCAAGTAATATTTAACCATTTAAAATCTCGATAAACCGGATTATGACCCGATTAAAACCTATAAACCAGATTATGACCCGATTAAAACCTTTAAACCGTAATTTGACATGCAAACCGGATTTGACCCGATGCTTCAACTCTTGACCCGCGAACCCGAACCCTAAAACCCCAAAATCGAAACAAAACAAAATCTCCAATAAATCTAAACCCTAGAATCGATTCACACAATCCAAAAATCCAATCTATTCGACGACTTTCTCAGTTGAAGGTATGTTTAACTTCGAAATTTTGAATCAGTTTCAATGTTTCAATGTATCGATTTTGGTATTCAAATTCGGGAATTCGATTTAGAGTATTCGATTTTGGGGGTTTTGGGAATCAGTTTAATTGTTTCAATGGTTCGAGAATTTGATAATATTGTTAACATTATTTCACTGCTTTGGGAATTCGATTTTGGGTATTCTTCTTTGGAAATTCGATTTTGGGTTGTGGGAATTCGATTTTGTGGTTTCATTTTCGGGAATTTGATAACATTGTTTTAGTGTTTCGATTTTGCAAATTTGGTAACATTGTTTCAATTTTTTCATGTAGATCGTTCTGCACTACAGTGTCAGTAATGGAAGATATTCCAGCGGATGTTGATTCTGATGGTGAAGACCGTCGTGAGCGTAACGCATATGAAATTGAGGAAGCATTAACCCAGTTCGAAGACGAGCCTCCTATTCTGCACAATTATACCCATAATCTGATGATGATGAAGAAAATGAAGGTCAGAAAGAAAGGAGGCGTTATCATATAAGAAGAGGTAATGGAAACTTATTCAAAGGACAACTTTTCATGAATGCTATAGCGTTTAAGGAAGCTGTCTTGAACCATGCTCTGAGAACTTGCCGGAATATATCGCAGTATAAGTATGATAAGACTAGGGTTGTGTTTGAATGTAATGGCAAAGGTTGTTCATGGCGCATATATTGCTCAGTTCCGAAGAATAGTACTAGGTGGCAGGTAACAGTCTTTGAGTCGGTTCATACTTGTGTTCCGAATGGTCAGTGTGCGATGTTAAAAGACAATGTCATTGCTCGACTATTTCTTGATAAGATCCGTGAAGAGGAAGAGTACTTCATGCCAATGAAGATTGAACAACTGATTATGGAGAAATGGAGGATATGTGTGACAAGAAATCAATGCCAGCATGCTAGGAACAAAGCATTGAGATGGATTGAGAGGGAGTATGCACAGCAGTTCTCACGTCTGCGTGATTATGCGACTGAGATAGAGCATTCAAACCCTGGATCTTCAGTGGAGGTTGACTGTATAACAAACGAGGCAGGAAGCCATGTTTTTCAAAGGTTTTATGTTTGTTTCAATAATCTTAGGAGATCATGGAAAGAGAATTGTCGGCTTCTTATAGGAGTTGATGGCTGCTTCTTGAAATCAGTTCAGAAGGGTGAGTTGTTTGTTGCTAATGGGAGAGATGCTGATAACAGAATTTATCCAATTGCATGGGCTGTAGTTCAAATGGAAAACACAAATAACTGGGCATGGTTCTTTCGTAAGATCAAGATCAAGGTTGACTTATGTCCTGGAGATGGGGATGAATATGTTTTGGTGTCTGACCGTCAAAAGGTAATGTTATTTTACTTATGGCTTGTTGTGTTAGATTTTTCATAGTTGTGCTCACCTTTTTTATGCTAATGCTGCATGTAGGGATTGCTCATTGCTGTGAAGGAGGAGCTACCTCTGATAGAACATAGAATGTGTGTCAGACATATTTACATGAATGTGAAGTATCGACATGGAAAGATGCCAGAGCTGAAGACACTGATTTGGCATCTCGCTTGGAGCTATAACTTGGCAGAGTACAAAGAAAATTTGAAGAAGATTGAGGATTACGATGAAGCTGTATATGCTGATGTGATGAAAATGAAGCCAGAGACTTGGTGCAGAGCATTCTACAAGCTTGGACCATATTGTGAGGATGTGGAAAACAACTCTGTAGAATCATTCAACAACTCTATAGGTAATGTCTATTTATGGCTTTAAGATTTGCAATGGCTTTTTTACTAATTTTTTTTTGCTTAATACATTTTTTTTTCAGGTAAAGCCAGAGACAAGGCTTTAGTGCCAATGTTGGAGACCATTGCAAGACTTGCAATGGTTCGTATAGCCAAAAGAGAAGCTAAAGCCGATGGCCATCAAGGCTTAACAACTCCATATGTGAGTAAGTATTTGGCGGAACAGAATGAGAAAGCTAAAGAATGCATTGTCCAACCTTCTACCAATAAGATGTTTTTAGCTATAGTCGATGGATGTTCATATCGAGTCAACTTGGAGCATTGGACTTGTACCTGCAGAAAGTGGCAAATCACAGGCATTCCATGTGAACATGCATATGAAGTCATAATTAAGAGAGGCCTTGAAACTCAAGACTATGTCTGCAAGTGGTTTAAGACAGAGATGTGGAGGAAGCTTTATATGGATGGCATTGTTCCAGTTAGAGGTGCCCGGTTTTAGCCAGTCGGAGAGGAGCCACCAATAGTTCAACCTGTGGTACCAGACATGCCTGGAAGGAATAAAGTTAACAAGGCAGATAAAAAAAGGAAGAAAGGAGTGAATGAATCTCCAATAAAGAAAAAAAAACAATTAGTGAGAAGAGTAATGCATTGCAAGGTTTGTGGAGCTGCTAGTCATAACTCACGATTCCACAATAAGAAGCAAAAACCATCTCAGGTTTGTGTATTCTTCTTTCTTTCTTGACATCATCTGCTTGTTCTCTATTTTATTGATTATGGAACACTATTCTTTGATATTACAGGCTTTAGTTGAAGCATCATCATCACAAGTTGAATCTTCACAAGGAGTTCTCACCCAATTTGATTAATGCTTATGGTTGCGGCTATTTGGACCTTGACAAGGAGTCTACTCTTTTGCGTTCCAAAGTTCTTTGGACCTGTTTTAGTATAGCTGTAGGCTGTGTTTTGGACCAGTTTCTGTTTTTTTTAGCATTTTGAACAATTATCTTAGTTGTTTTATGCAAGTTTTTTTGGACCAATTTCAATTGTAATCTACGTCAAGGCTGTATTTGGATCTTTTGAGACATCTCTTCCTTTTTTTATCTTCTTTTGTGTTCTCTTCTTTTCAAATCCGCTATTTCACTTGATTCTTTCACTTGCATTTGCGGCTATCTAAAAGCAACACTCTCCAGCTGAACATTTTAAGGAATAAATTCACACCTTGATGATCATTCTCACATAACCAGAAAATAGGCAATGTCAAGCATCAGGCAACCAAACAAAAACAAGGACAATGACACACAATGACCATATCGTCTGATCAAAACACACAAGAGAACACAGTCTCGCCAATGACACACAACAGACACAAAGAAGGACAATGACACACAATGACCATTATCGTCTGATCAAAATACACAAGAGAACATAGTCTAACAATGACACACAACAGACACAAACAAGGACTCAACCTAATACCTTACTACAACCTAAGATAATCACACATCATAAACACACAAGGAACAACATTCTCTTCATCTCGGTTTTAGCTTCAAGTAGCACTTCTTCCACTCTTTCGCAGATCTCTTTCTCTATCTTCATATGAAGCTTTTTACCCTTCTCATCATCGGCCTCCATTGAATTTTGTCTCACCTCTTGTTCAAGTCTCTCAGTTCTAAGCGCTAATGCTTCTAACTCATTCAACACAGCCTCATCAACCCACATGAATGTATGATTATCATTGATAAGCTACACAAATTCGAAAATATGACAATCCAAATGAGAATCACACTCAAGTGATATTAACAATGACAGATAAGAGATGGCAAAAGCATACCTTTTGTTGTACAGCAGCAGCACACCTGAAGTATCTCTTGTACGGATTCACATCAGATTTTGAGATTTTCGACACAATTGCTTCTCCACACCAACATTTCTTCAGGACTCTCGAAAATCGTCCTCTTCCACGGATAAATGAAGTCCCAGTCGAATCTCCAGAAGTATTACTCATCTTGACACTCAAATCGCCTTCTCAAATCAGAGAGTTAAGATCGAAATTACCCAGAAAAAATTAGGGTTCTTGCAAAAAATTGGGGTTTTTTTCATTTAAAATCGTATTGGGTCGGGTTTGTGTGGGTCGGAATTGTTTTTGGGTCGGATATTAATTTCGGTTTGATAACCGGTGTAAGCAAGTTTGGTGGTTTTGTATCGGGTTACCCTCTCAAACCATCGAAATCGACCTATATGGGGAAATATGATCCATCTCGTATAAATATACTCTGTTGAAATAACAAATTAAGAAAAAAAAATCATAATCATGATTTGTTTGTTCATTAAGTATCAAATTGTTCATCTAGTTCAATATTATAATTCGACAAATCAAATGAAGATACTAATGTTATAGTTTAACATTTGGCATCCATGTGATGATTAAAGGCATTTACTATTTTCTTCATCACCACCAGCTTCTTCATCTCCGAATCCAGCACATTGCTTCACGAATCCCATCAGAAAAAGAGAGAGAACGAGAGAGAAATATGCAAAAATCAAAACTCTAATTTTTGAAATAAAATGAATACATTAAAACAAAAAAGAGAAAGATAGAAAAATCAAAATCTTACACTTCTTGCCTCTAGGCTCCCTGAGTTTCGATTTAAATATGGCCTCAAAAATCCCGCTTATGAGTTCTGTTTATAAAAAAAATAAGATAGTAAGTAATGAACAAAATTATGAAGATAAATGGTCATGAGTAAATAAAAATTATTTTTTTTCAAAAACCACAACTAAGGCTCGGTGAAAATGAGAGGAACAATAGAATGTACAATTCTTATATAAGCTTAGATTTAACAGAGCTTCTTTAAGAAGCTTTATTAATAATAAATAAATATAAATGAGATAATATATATATACAAAATCTTGAAAAAATATTATGGTTTACCAAATCTTAGTACAACAATATGAAAAATTATTGGGTTCACCCCTAGGGGTGAATTCATTCATTCACCCCATGTCATTTAAACCAATTAGAATCTGTCATCTAATATTATGTTTAAAGAAAAATAAAAAATAAAAATTAAAAGATTAAATATTCAATCAAATATTTTGATAATATATATATATATATATAATAAATAATATATATAAAAATTAGAATTTAGGGTTTAGTTTTTTATTTTAATTTTTTAAAGGTTTATGCATTATGATTTAGAGTATAAAAATTAGAATTTAGGATTTAAAAATTGAAATTTAGAGATTAGGGTTCAAAATTCCGAAAATAAAGTAAATAATTATAGAAATATATATATATATATATATATATATTAAAAATAAATATATATAAAATTTAATATTATGCTTGGATTCACTATTTTCAATTTAGGTTTTAGTTTTTCTTTATTTAAAATTCTAAAAATAAAACAAATAATTATGTAAAAATATTTTTAACTAATTCTACATAAATTTCAATATTATGCTTGGTTTACTATTTCCAAATTAGGATTTAGTTTTTTTCCATTAAAAAAATAATTTAATATTATATTTGGGTTCACTATTTCCAATTTAGGGTTTAGTTTTTTTTTTTAAATTTCGAAAATAAAATAAATAATTATGTAAAAATATATTTTTATTAAAAATAATTCTATATAAAATTTAATATTATGTTTGGGTTCAATATTTCCAAATTAGGCTTTAGTTTTTTCTTATTTAAAAAATATATTTAAAATATGCTATTTTGGTAAGTTATTTTAAGTGATTTTATTATATGGCATATTTTCATTGGCTAAAATGAGAGAGGGTGAATGAATGAATTCACCCCTAGGAGTGAACCCAAGAATTGTTCCAACAATATTATAAAATTGTAATTCAAAAAAAAATTTTAATGCTAACAAATATTTAAATCCAATGTTGGTAAATTATGGAAATAGTATTTTATGCATTTAATTTGGAAAATAGTAAATTCTATACGGATTTTATGGAATATTCTCTAAAATGATTATGGAAATAATGAAAATAGTAAATTTAAATAAACTAACATCCATGATTTTATGCATTTAGTTAGGAAAATATTAGAATTGCAGTTTACTATATTTTAAATGTTAATTACGACCAGAACTTAACAAACAATATATTTATTGATTTATTTCTTTTTAAAATTATTTGAATAAAACATCAATTTGTTGTTTAGATATCTTGTTAAGATTTAGTTTAAAATAATTATTATTAATGATAAATATTTTTTTTGTAATGATTTTTTGTTTGTCAAACTATTTTGTATATTAAAAAAAAGAAATTAGGTAAGTTAATTACTCATTAATGCTGGAATTTTGTTATGGATATGTGAGATCTTGGTAACAATATATAGGATAGTAAGATATTTACTCATTAATACAGAAATTAATACAATATATATAGTTTCTAATAAACAGTACATGGCGGCAAAGTTTGAAAACTTAATAATTTGTTTTCTTCCTATTTTATATGATGAGATTTAGATGCATAAAAAGGGTATACAAACTTCTTAGTGTACTGTCAACCTTTAAAGTATTTGCTCTAACAAGGTAATTATATTTTATTTAGTCCACCTATTAATGTAAGTCTTAGAATTTCAACCTATAATAGGACAATAATTTTAAAATCTACCTATTATAGTATTTGCAATAATATTATTATAACTTATCTCAATTCCAAAATAATAAGTAAAAGGTTTTGTTTTGAAAATATATACGTTGAGTTTTTTTCTCCAAATTAAAAGCTATGTAAATATATTAATATAAGCATGTATAATTTATTTGAATGTTAAAAATACTTGTTTTGTTAAGTTGTTATACATTTACGCAATATTAATATGTTAGAAAATAATTTTTGGCGACAAATAAGGAAAAAGAGTTTATTATGAATTAATAATTTCTGTTAATGTTAATTTTAATTGTGGTGCTGCCAAATGTACTTTTGTGCTTTCTATTTAATATACTTTAGATTACCAGAATCAAAGGATAATTCAAAGATGTTAATTTCTGTAACGATTTTATTTATAAAAACATATAGAAATTTAAAGGTGTTAATTCTTATTTTAATTCTCATTTTTCATTTTCCTGATAGGTAAATGTTATGAAATAATAATATTCCTTAGTTTGACATTATATATGTTTTAAAAAAATTTAAAATATAATAATATGTCGTAGTAAGTTTTCAAATATAATAATTGTAGATTTTATATGGGAAAACTGTTTTAGTATGGTGATAATAATATGATGATTTGTAAATAAGTCATGTTTACATGAGAAAAGTGTCTTTAAAGTATATAGGAGTTTTAGGAAATTAGATATATTGATTTAAGCAATAATTTTAAAATTATCGCCAATAACTACATATTAGGAAGTTTGTTTTATGAATTAATTAAATATTAATATTGGAGACTAAGAAATGCCATGTGTACTTTTGTGTTTCTTCTTTAATATACTTTTTTTTTGGTTGGGGGAGAGGAGACAAAGTCTCCTCAATTTT